AATACCCCGACGATCCCAACACCCACAAAACATTTCATTTCTCCCCTGGTGATCAATTATTGGGATCCATCTTGGAAATGTATCCTTGTCAATGCACTGCCTTTTGTGTTGAACATCGTTGTATGTAATTCATTTTTTATAACCTGTAGGCTTACAGCCGTATCACATTCAAACTCCAGTTTCCGTACGATCATCGAAGTTAAGCAACATCTCACTTGATCAGTATCTAGATCGGCAACCGGTTGTGAATACCAGGTGCTGTAATCTTGGGTGTGCGGTTGGTGTAACGAATAACGGCTCAGAACAAGAATTCAGAGAGCCGAGTTCCAATTCCATTTGGGTTCGTTATATTCACTAATTCGCAAACACCCCAAGGAAACGTATGAATCCCCCTCTTTCTTCCCTGTCATGTATCAGTAAATCATTATTATCTCCCCCAAAAATCTTTCAGTCTAAAAATATTTTGTGCCTTTAAATAACCTTCAAATGGTTGATAAACCTTAAAAAACAAATCAATCAAGCATAATCTGATCTGATATATTTAAGGAACGGTTGCTTAGTATGATGTATTCGTCATTACTATTGTTTCACCCAAAACGGAAATTACTTATGACTCAACCTAATAAAAGGTAAGAATAATCAACTTTTTCTTGTTACACATTTGTGTGACGTTTACACTTTTTTGTTTAGAATCAATAGTTCACATTTTTTTATTAGAACCAATAGTAATATTTCACACATTTTTTTAAAACAAAAACTTCAGAGTTTTCGTTTAGATCCAATAGTTAACTGTTTTTGTTTAGAACCAATATTTCGCAGGGATTTTTTTAGACCCAAAAGTTCTCAGTTTTAGTTTAGAACTAATAGTTCACTGTTTTTATTTAGAACCAATAGTTCACAGTTTATTTTAGAACCAATAGTATGCAGTTTTTGTTAAGAATCAATAGTTCACAGTTTTTGTTAAGAACCAATAGTTCACAGTTTTTGTTTAGAACCAATAGTTCGCAGTTTTTGTTTAGAACCAATAGTTCACAAATTTTGTTTATAACCAATAGTACGCAGTCTTGTCTAGAACCAATAGTCCACAGTTTTTGTTTAGGTCCTAAAGTTCGCAGTTTTGTTTAGAACCAATAGTTCGCAAGTTTTGTTTAGAACCAATAATTCGCAGTTTTTGTTTAGAAACAATAATTCACAGTTTTTGTTTAGGACCAATAGTTCGCAGTTTTTGTTTGGAACCAATAGTTCGCAGTTTTTGTTTAGAATCAATAGTTCACAGTTTTTGTTTAGGACCAATAGTTCGCAGTTTTTGTTTGGAACCAATAGTTCACAGTCTTTGTTTAGAATCAATAGTTCACAAATTTTGTTTAGGTCCAATAGTTCGCAGTTTTTGTTTAGAACCAATAGTTCACAGTTTATTTTAGAACCAATAGTTCGCAGTTTATTTTAGAACCGATAGTTCGCAGTTTTTGTTTAGAACTAATGGTCGCAGTTTTTGTTTAGGTTCAGAAGTTCACTGTTTTTTATTAAAATAGTTGACAGCAATTAATTAACCGTCCATCACCTTACCACGTTGCCATAAACTTAGCCATACTGATAATTAGTAAAATTCGAAATAAATAAATGTACATAAGTAAATCAAATTAAACACGAAAGCTCTAATTTTCAAATCAAATTATAAAATATTTTCATGGCATAAAAAATTTCTAACAAAATTGTATAAACTAAAAAATATATGACTTTAAAAGAAAAATTATTTTAAATATTTGAAATGAAATCTTCCGACAAAGGTTTCAGTTATACTGCAAATCAGTGGTTCTAACCTAGGGTCCATATGGACCCTGGGGTCTACAGGGGTTTATTTTAAAATGGTTTATTATGAGTTATTTTACTAGTGTACATAACTGTTCCATAGAATACAAGTTCATGTTCATTAAATTAGTTTTACTTTAAAATAAAGCATATAAATTTATTATTTCTATAATACAATTCCTAATCTTATCTATTAGTAAAAAGCTTTTTTCTCATCGAATGGCTATAGGGGTCCACAAAAAACTTGTCCACGGATAAAAAAAAAAAAAAAAAAAAAGTTGAGAACCACTGCTGTAAAAAGTGTAATTAAAAGCCTGGCTCAAGCGAATTGTCAATCAGAAAAACACGAGAGAAATTCTCTGCGTGTGAATGATGTGAACGTAGCCACATATAGGGTGAGTTTAGTGAGCGGAAAATACAAGCTAGAAGATGGTTATCTTCAATGAAAAGCTTACTGTTGTTAAAAAGAAAACAAACAAACCCTTAATTCCTTTTTACATGATCTTCTTGAAATATCCACTTATAGCAATAAAAAGTTAAGAATGTCCCAAAGACTTTATTATGGTTCATTGCTATATAAACCATTAGCTGTAGTGTGCGATGCCTCAGTTCAAATGATGCGTTGTGTATTGTAATCAAATTGTAATAATAATGGCTACTAGTATACGCGTTTTTCTAGGTTGGGTAGCAAATCCACTTTGTATTTATTTAACACCTACAGAGTCAATTTTATACTGCAAGTTTGCTGAATGGAATTTATTTAATGGTTTTTGGAAGAGAAAACGTAATCTGGTAAGATTAGTAGTTGAACAGGGTGAGAACACCCAGCCCCTTGGTCACAATGATTTATGACTAGCATGACTAGTACAATTACCAACGACTTCCAAACAGTTTCGTCAACTCTATTTCGCTCATTCAATTTCACTCACATTGCCTTTCTTGGGTCTGAAATGATTCTTTTTAAAAGTTAAATGAGGATCTAGTATCGCACTTAATTCCATAAACAGAATGCATTTCTTCTGCACAGAAGCGTGTACTCGCTGTAGAAAACAAGCTAATAATGCTTCATTATTTTTATTGCAGTGAGTTCGATTCTCACTGAGTGACCTGACATTGTGGCATTTTGTCAAACTAACCTTTGTTGATTTACTGGTTTTTACTACAAAAATAATGTTCTTTTCAAATGAACATTCAATTTTCTTTCTTCTTTAAGCTGCGTCTCTTCATGGCGTGGAAAATCTTGGCTCTCCACAATTTCCTCCCCTTTGTGTTTGTCTTTTTGCTGTCTCTCCAAATCCCTGTTCAGCTAAGCTCATTATGTTTTCTTCTGTCCATCTTGTCTTCAATCTGTCCTGCAAGTGTCAAAGTCTCCAAGCCGTCTTTCCTCATTATGTGTCATAGGAATTTCAACAATCTCTTTCTGATGCTAAATATAAGCGTTCTTTTTGTTTCCATTTTTTCTAAAACGTTGTTGCTCATATGTTTAGTCTAAGATATTATCATCATCCTTCTATAGAACCAAATTTCTGTTCCCTCAAGTCTCTCAAGAGATTATCCACCATTCATTGCCATATAAGATGACTGATATTTCATAACAGTTCAGTACTCTTATCTTTGTTTCTAACTAAATTTTGCTGTTTTTTACTTCTTTGCTTAGCTTTTGAAAGGTAACTTTCGCCATCCCAATGTATCTTGGGATTTCGGTGTTACATTTTCCGTTGTCTGTTAAAAAAACTACCTTCACTTGCTTGATTTTGGTGTTTTCCAATTTGTAATTCGCATGTTGGATTGTTCCTTTTGCTGACAACCAGACATTGTCTTCTTTTAATTGATGTTTAGTATTTTTTACTCGCTTCCTTTCTGTGTACTGTGCCATCTACATATCTAATGCTGTTAAGATTGTGGCCACCAATAATGAATCTCGATAGGACTACTAATTATCTCAGGACTGATTCACTGTAAAGGTTGAATAAATCTGATGCAAAGACACATTATTGTCTTTTACCCAATCTCTTAAACATCCATAGATATCGAGATCAACATTCAGTCAGTTATGTGCCATGCGTGATACATGCTTAGGCAGTTTTTTTTTCCCCGCAGTAGGTTGTCATTTCTTTCGGCAGTAAACCAGTTGCCATCCAAGATTATAGAACATGTCCTGCTATTTACCCATAGCTGGGGGGAGAAGAAGAGGATTCATACCTTTCCTAAGGGTGTTATCAAGTAAGTGAATGTAATGGATGCGACTAGAATTCGAACTCGGCTCTCCGATTCCTCAATCCTAGCCGCTATCCATTATTCCACCGTGCCATTAGATAAGTATAAAGTACTGTAAATATATTTCTAAGTATGTTATACGCTCGAGTATGTGAGTTTTGTGTGTGTGTGTGTGTGTGTGTGTGTGTGTGTGTGTGTGTGTGTGTGTGTGTGTGTGTGTGTGTGCCCTGCGCGTGTGTGTATTCTGCGTGAGTTTAAGAGAGCGAGTGAGAGACAGAGACGTATATCTGTAGCAACACTTTGTGAATGTCTTTGTTTTCATTGTTATAAAAGGCAAACACATGTAAATTCTATTTTCGTACACACCGGGCGACTTGGTTACACCACGAGAGACCGGAAGTAGCATCGTTTAACAAAAGTTGTAAAAGCGTCTCGTCATTTCCGCTTTCACAATTTGACAAAAACCACAGACGCAAGAATAATGTCAAATGTTTTTCTTTCCTAAATAATACAGAGATACTCAGCAGTCGTTTTTTGTTATTTTCTCCATGGGTTCATCAATGGCAAAAAAATATATATATATATATATATATATATATATATATATATATATATATATATATATATATAATGACGGGGTGGGTGGAGATGATGAGACAAAGTTATAAACGACGCGTTTCTCCGACGCCTGTTGGTCTCGGCTTCTTCAGGTCAAAATAAAAGACAACATCGTGTGTAGGGAAAATGAGTTGGGATTTTTTGTTTGAGATGCTATAAATTAAATTACTTTATCAGATATGAAAACAAGAAACAACAAAGCTTGTTTTATTATTTATATATATATATATATATATATATATATATAGAGAGAGAGAGAGAGAGAGAGAGAGAGAGAGATAACAAGCAAACAGTTGAATATATATGTATATAAAACAAGAAAACACTTGATTATATATAAACAAGCAAACACACACACATAGATAGATAGATAGATTAGAGATAGATAGATAGATAGATAGATAGATAGATAGATAGATATGTTTCATTGAATAATACAGACATATTATGTCTATTTATTTTTATAATAATCTTTTCAGTTCTCTAATCAGTTTCTTGGTGTTAAGATGAAATTCATCAAGGAAGTCGCTGTAATTTTTCTTCTACCCAAGTACATTCGATCTCCTCCAAGAAAGGATTATTATAAAAATAAATAGACATAATATGTCTATATTATTCAATGAAACGTTTAAATGAATATATGCTACCTAAATATATAATTCTTGTTCTGTATCCATTCTCTTAAAAGCTTTAAATAGATTACTCGCTGTTTCCTCCCTATGCTTCTCTTGCTTTCAGTATGTCCTGTGTGTATTAAATTCTCCAGACTCTCTTTCCTCATTATACCCCAGATGTTTCAGTTGCTTCTTTCTTATATTAAATATTAATTTCGTTGTATTTTCTGTTCTCCTTAAAACTTCCTCATTACACGCATTTTTTTGTTCATAGTATTTTCAGCAAACGACGATAGAATCACATCTCTGCCGCTTCAAGTCTCTTCATCTGTGAAGAGATTTTCCAACATTCATTGCCATATAGGGAAGTAGATATTATATAACATTTCAGCAATATTGTCTTAGTTTCTAATGCTTATTACTTTGCTTAGGTTCTGAAAGACATTTTTTTCTATGTAATTTCGATGCCACATTTATTGCACTAAGAAGATCATTAAATTTCTATTCCTATTTCATTTTGACGACACCAATATTAATCTTGGGCTGTCTCTTTTGCTGATGACCATGTAGTCTGTTTTCTTACAGTAAATAGTAGCTTTTTTTTTACTTTCCTTTACGGTCCTCTCTAAAAGTTCTTTCGATTTCTTTATTGAGTCTATCGCCAACTTGCGTATCTTTTGCTGTTAAGATAATATAAGCAGATAATAAATTCTGCTAGGTTTACTAGTTCTCTTAGGATTGTCTCTCAATACCGATTTAAAAAATCTGGGTAGAAAACGCACCCTTGTCTTACTTCTCTTTCTAATTCTTTGTGCATTTACTAAACTCCTTCTCTATGCAGGCAACTTGCTCCTATTAGAGTTTTTTTTTTAAATCACTTCACCCTAAGCAAGGCAATAATGCCAATAAGGCGCGTGGGGCTACTAGGAAAGAAAGAGAATGAAAATACTTTAGAATGAACTGGAAACCCAATCGTAAACATGAAACAAAGGATAATCCTCTACTCCTGTTCAGAAGACGAGGTAGGATTGTGAACCGGACCATAGGCGAGCCTTCATACTTGCTCCTTTTTCATTCATATCACACTCCTCATTCATCAGTACCATTTTAACAGTAACCCTAGACCTCAAGTAACTTTTGAGCCTTGTATTATATGAATTTTGGTATAAAGATTAACTTATAACTTGGTGCATGTATATCCGAAATCGGCATTACATTCCTCCTATTCCTTGGTATTTGCTCAGCTTTTATTTGTAGAACACAAGAGATTAGATCAGATCTAAATGCAGATAAGACCCGTTTCAGATCTTATCAGAGATCAATTCTGCGGTTAACGGAACCAAATCATGATAGCTTCCGGTTCCGGTGTGTTTTTATCCAGTATTACAGATTATACGGTGTATTTTTCTTTGTAAATAACAGCGCGTAAAGCATCTAACCACGTAACAATAAATAATCTGCCCTAATGCAATGGCACGGAAATAACATAGCGTAAAATCTGTACGACGTGGCCAGTGGGTGGCAGACAGATTTAATTGATGCAATATTTTGCAGGAAAAAAAAAGAAAAACCGCTACACGAAATGCGAACAAATTATTCGCCTCAGACATTGTGAATACGATATTTACGCAGTACACAAGTACAGAAAGAGATATTTCACTACCGGCTGTGTGATTCCACGGAAAAATGTGTGTTCCTGCATTTTTTAAAATCATTTTCATCAAAAGTTACCCAACATCGCTTGATAATGGAACAAATTTAAAGTTCCGAAAGATAGAAATTCATGTGTTGCGATGTAAAATATTTTTTTTTAAAATATTTGAATATATACACAGAGAGAGAGAGAAAGAGAGCGAGAGAGAGAGAGAGAGAATGTCATATGTTTAAAATGGTAGATATTTCTCGTATCTTTTTGTTTGATATCAGATAAAAAGGAACCTGTTCGTAAATTACATGTTTGCTGACAAGCTTACACGCGCGTGCGCGCACACTATCTCTCACACGTACGCATACGCTCAAACAAACACAAACACACCCTTTCCTACGCAGCCAATGCAATCAACAATGAACTGGGAAGGGTTGCATCCCATTAACATTGGTCTATGACCGGGACCAATGTTGGAGAGGATGGGATCAGTAAAAAAAAAAAAAAAAAACAAGATTGTTGCGGGGGTGGGTAGATAGCGTTGATGATGATCTACACACCTACTGATAGGTCACGACCAAGATTCGTCACTGCTTCCAAATTTTAGTCAACTTATCATGAAATATAATGAATTAGTGGTAGGGGTAGCGAGGAGGGTGTGTCTGTTGTAAGAACAGAGAAAAAAAAAAGAGATGTATGTTTTTATTTTCTTTCTTTCTTTCTTTCTTTATATGTCATCTCCCTTCAGGACGTAAAATGTTCATGGCTCTCCACAAATTCGTTTTCTTTGTTCTTTCGGAATCTCCATGTCTTCTTTGGAAAGATTGTCAAAGAGTGACTTCTTGTTGCTTCTTCATAGTTTGGGATTCAAATTCCTCGTCCGTTAGTCTGTTTGCAACTCAGAGTCCATTTTAACGCCCCACAATTTAACCTGTAGCTATAATATTGTTCCCACTTGTCTTTCGCGAATTTACAGGCATAATGCATCGATTCTGCACTCTTATTTTCTGTCTTCAACGATTTCATCGGTGAAATATAGTTAAACTTTGCTTTATCCACAGTTTTAAATTCAGAGAGTTCCTTATCTAAAACAGGCTGTCGCCAAATCCTAAAGAGACATTCCAAATTTAATCTAGAGCCTGGAGGATGGGGTGGGGGGAAGATTCATGCTTTTCCTAAGGTTATTAGTACAAAGTGAGAAATTAATGAATATATTTCTTCTGTGACATTATTTTAATAAAAAAGAAAAAAATTTACTCAATTTTTTATTTTAACGAAATTTTTCTTACTTCAAAAAGTGACTATATATTATGGTGTGGACCATAAAAGAAAACTCGGACTGGGATATAAGGTTTAATAATATATTCTCGGTAAAAAGAAGTACAACAGTAAACGTGGACAGGAGAGTACTTTCTCTCACTGGTGACTTCCCAACTCATAGTTGGTAGCCACATTATATAAGTGTGGAATAGTCTATTTGTAGGTAGGTTAGATTCCCACAATACTATAGAATATGTTTACTTTTTTTGGTACATATTGTGATCCCCCTCTTATAAATTTATTAAAAATATTTCAACAACAACAAAGATAAGTAACTTAAATCACATGATCCAATAGAGAAATAAATAATTTTTCACCAATAACACTGATTTATTTACTGCTGACTTTGATCCGTCTTAATGAAACACCCTTATATATAATCTGTCTTAAAGTAAATTGATCTACAGTAATTAATGATGACAAAACACAACTGAGTTTTCTGCATTATTGTTTATAATGTGATGTCAACTATGAACCAGTCGATCATTCCTGACATAGGTATACGTCTACTTGTCTTTAAGGATTTCTATTTCTTTTATATGTCTTGTCCGTTCAGGGCGTGGTTTAATCATAGCTTCCACGACTTCCTCTCTTTTGTAGCTCTTAGCAATTTTAACCCCCTTACTATTCCCCACAGTCCCTGTTCTGCCATCCATTTTCACAACTACTTAGGTAGATTATTTCCTTTGCTCTCTTGCCTTCAGTATGCCCTGTGAGTATCAAATTCTCCAAACCTTCTTTCCTCATTATATATTCTAGAAATTACAACTGCTCCTTTCTGATTTTTCTCTTTTTTTTTTTCATTTTTTTAAAACGTCCTCATTTCTCACATGCTCTATCCGTAGTATTCTCAGCATCCTCCCGTAGAACAACATCTCTGTTGCCTCAAGTCCCCTCTTCATCTATGCGAAAACTGTACAGAATTCAGTGCCAACTAAGAGCATTCATATTACAAAGCAATTCAGCACTTTTGTCTTTGTTTCTAATAACGGAACTTTCCCGTTTCTTAATATTTTGTTCTGCTTTTTTGTTATTCCAATACAACTTCAGATTTCGGTGTCACATCTTTGCCGTCTATTACAACACTTCGCAGATAACTAGATTTATGTACTTGCTTGATTCTGACGTCCCCAATTGGTAACTCGCGGCTTGGGTTGTCCCTTTTACTAACAACCATACATTGTGTCGTCTTACAATTGATGGTTCGTTCTTTCTTCCCACTTTAAATCGATCACTTCTCTACTCCTCACTGGAAAAGACATTAATCTGTATCTTCTCTATTCCCCAGTGGAAAAGGCATGAAACAATCTCTTCCCTGTCCCCTACTGAAAAAGCGGGAACCCATCACTTCTCTACTCTCTACTGGGAAAAGCATGAATCCATCACTTCCCTACAACCCATTGGAAAAGGCATAAATCCATCGTTTCCTTATTCCCCACTGGGAAAAGCATGAAACCATCTCTTCCCTAATCTCTACTGGAAAAGGCATGAATCCATCGTTTCCCTATTCCCCACAGAAAAAAGGTTTAAATCCATCATTTTCTTATTACCCATTGGAAAAGGTATTAATCCAACACTTCTTTACTCGTCATTGGAAAAGGCATGAACTTATCAGTTCCCTATTTCCCAGTGGAAAAGGCATAAATCCATCTCTTCTTAAACCCCACCCCACCATGAAGCTGAGTTTTAAAGAGCAGGGTATATGGGGCTCTATAGCCTTTGGTGGCAGCCAGTCTAGAAGACAGTCAACTCTGGATTCAAAACCATGGAGAAATTAACAGGAAACCACTCCATTATTTTTCTCAAGAGGTCAAATATTAAAGAAAAGTAATCTGTGACGAGCCATGATTATCAACATACTGGCATTTAACAATAAAAAAGAATAGTGAATAATCGAACGACGAAAAATCAAATATTTTTCTACATTAATTCTACAAGTTCATTCTTCTTTCTAATATTATTGATTGTTTTTGTTTATTTCTCCTGTTTCTTGTACAGTGGAACCTCGGTTCACGAATTTAATTTGTTCCTGAAGGTCGTTCGTAACCCGAAATGTTCGTAAACCGAAACTATTTTTCCAATACGAATCGATGCAGAAAAAAAAGTCACAGTACAATAAAACTGGAAAAGAAAAGCACGGAACAACACACGAATGTATACAACATGGCGGTTGCCTCAGAAATGATTCCGTTCTTGTAAACTCGGTTCGGCTATGTTGTTCGAGAACCGAAATTTTGTTCAATATCTGAGACATTTTCATCTCGAATTTTCTGTTCGAAAACCGATTTGTTCGACATGTGAGATGTTCGAGGATCCTTTGTTTTTTTCGTTCATTATCTTTTTACAATCTCCATTAAATCTGCGTCATAATTTATTTTTCTTTGTTCACAATTTCCATTAATTATATCTTTCTCCACTTGTTCTTTTTTGTTTTTGTTTTTGAATTCTTTTACTTGTTTATATTTGTAGGTCTTTTTATTCGTTTATCAGTCCTTTGTTTATTTCCTTTTTATCTTCTCAGGCTTTTTTCCGTTTCTCGTTCTATCTTTCATTAGAATTTTTCTACTCGCTTTTTCTTAACTTAGTTCGTTTTGTGTGTGGATACATGCATACACACACGCATAATACACACACACACACACACACACACACACATATATATATATATATATATATATATGTATGTATGTATGTATCCTTAAGACTTGACTTTTCCAATTTCCGAAGTAATCAGCCATTCCTTTCATCAACGATTGGCGTGAAAAAAAATCGAGAGGAATGATTTAGAGTTATCTTCTCTTGGCCAACACTACAAAACACGAACGGGGCGGGAAAACGACGCTATAATTGTTGCCAAAGTTATAACAAGATAAGCCCAAACGCTTGACAGCAAAACAAAAGTAAACGAGGAAAAAATAAGAAAAGCCAAAGCATAAAGCCGAAAAAGAAATTTATATAAACAAGAGTTGACCTCCAATCGAAAAGGTCTTCGATTATCATCCTCACGTTCCACGTGATATCGAATGTATTTACTTTTTCTTGGATTTTATTTCCTTTCCGTTTCACTTTATATAATTTTATTATCTTTATTGCCTGTTTACGACTCGAATGTGTTAGAAAATTTAACTCCAGTATGATTACCACAGTTAAGCAACGCTGATATTGAACATTAACAGCATGGGTAATTTTATTGTCCTGTAAGCGTAATTAAACGACTAATAAAAAAAAATAACAAATCTTCGCATCTCCCATCACAAAAATATTTATTTAGATAATTACGTGGCTCGCCACATTTTTTATCTCTCCATTTTGATAATTAATTCTCTGAGAATAGGTGCTTCTCATATAGGTAAGCCGCGATTGACTGATTTGTTGTCTTACTGCTTATCAACATTTTGCAGGTTATTTTAAGCCCCCCAAAATATTTTTAAATTGTAGGGGGGGATAATGATTTATTAATACAGGTCCTATTAATTAACCCATACATGGGGGAGAAGAGGTAGATTCATCCCTTTCCTAAGGGTATTTGTGTCTAAGTGAATATTTCCAATTCCGAGCCCTTATCCATTATACCACCCACACATCCAAGCTTACAGCACTTGGTATTCCCAAGCTGTCACCCATCTAGGTATTGAACAGGCACAATGTTACTTAACTTCGGTGATCAGTACGAGAACCATTGTTTCAAGCAGGAAGTGTTACGTATTGATACATTTTGGATTTCTCTTAGAAATAAGTATATTTCAATAGCTAACAAAGGAAAAAACTTTTATGAGTTGAAAATGAAATAAATCTTTTTTGCTTTAGACTGCTTTGTTTAGTACGGACCCGGAAGGATAGTTTCTTTACAGCCATTTTTGTATTAGAATATAATAGTACAAACTTCAATGTCGTTTGCATTCTCGTCTGGTGATTGTCAAATTTATTGTTTTTCTTTCTGGACAGGAGCGGCCTGGGTTCCAGCATCGACTCCTTGAATTAGCTCCTGGGCCCCCTTTTATTATTACCTATTGCCTATTGGTAGGGTCCAAATTCACTTCTTGGAATTTGAAGGAAAACCTTTAGATTGGTTTTGGATGAAAAAACAAACGCAGCTGTTTTCCCACATATCGAAATCTTTCTTTACTAGTTACAGAACCATTAATGATTTTACAAGGAAAAAGTGAAAAAATACTGAAAAGTATAACGTTCTATGACAATAAATGTAGCCCAAATTCTTAGACTTACCATTCGCTATATAAGCTTGTTATATAATCAGCATAACGCAGTATAAAACAAATGAGTATTATACAGTCAGTTAACTGCAACATTTTCAAGTTATAGTGAAAATCATGCAGAGAAAATGAAGAATATTTTTTCATGAAAAATATTGCCTCTCGTCAAGTTGTTGAAAATGATCTTTTTATTAACTTCCTCAATACCAATTTGAAGAATATGCTTTCAAAATTCCATATATTGACTTTATATGTGTTTCTGAGATAAAGAAATCCGTGATAACACAAGTAGAATTTGTTAAAAAAATTGTCAAAAGTTTATTTACTCTCATCATTATAATGGTCGGCTAATCGTTTTCAAGCACACCTGTCTACTAGGGCGGCGAGCCAATCCCTGTTGCAGACGCCTGCCCAGGCATATTTTGTGTTTGTTCAATACCCACAGACCCCACTCGTGGTTTATACTGAAACAGCTTCTTAGAGAGTACATAATCTGGCATGATCAGGAGATTGAACAAGATTCAAACACTCGGTCACGATGACTTGAGATCTCCTGCTCCCACAACCATCGACGTTTTCCAAACATTTCCGCCTACTCAGTTTCACTCATAAGACTTGAGTCAACATGTGGCATGGTTTTCAAGCACTTTTCAAAGGATCGCCTACCCATGCCGATAATATAAGGAGTCACATATAAACCGTGATGAGATCGAAACCGCGTCTCATACTCGGAAAACGAACATTCTAACCACTCGGTCTACAAATATAGTAATTGACAACATTCTGACTCTAGAAGATAAGAAAACGATAATCGCCATTTGTTTCTTTGCGCCGATTGCATTTGAACCTGGTATATATAGACAAAATGGATGAGCGGTTAGCGTAGCAGTTATTGGAAAAGAGTTCAAATTTCGATCGATACAGTTACGTTCATTTTCTACTAATGACTTTGTGAAAGGCATGAACGTATCTCTTCTCCGCCACAGTCGGTTTCATATTAGAACACAATCTTCAATCCTAAAGACTACGTTCAAGCATGAAACAGATTGTCGACACTCAGTGTTGGCCCTAGTGTCGACTGTATATATATATATATATATATATATATATATATATATATATATATATATATATATATATATATATATATATATATATATATATATATATATATATATATACAAAGTGTGTTCCAATATTTTCGACCGATTTTAAATGTGAATAAAGCTTTAGCGTCTAATGATTTTTTCTTTTAGATTTGGCGGACATTTGGGCGATATTATTTTTCACACATAATTGCCATGACTTAAATAACATGATCCAATAGAGAAATAAATAAATTTTCACCAATAACACTGACTTATTTAGTAATGACTTTGATCCGTCTTAATAAAACACCCTTTATATATATATATATATATATATATATATATATATATATATATATATATATATATATATATATGACCAAGGGGCAAAAAAAGTTTTCAGAGTGCGCATGCGTATTCGGACCAACGTAAACAAGTTCAGTCCGATGATGTCCTGAATGACGAAATACGTCAAACGAAAACTATTTTTCCATTTTGTGCGTCTGTGTGTAAAATGGACGCCCAGGTGGCATAACAATTGCTCTTGAGGAAAACAGCCAAACCAAGTTCAAATATTATTATATTCAAAGCGTATTAATACACTTGGATAAGGCATGAACTCATCTATTCCTTACCCACTATGGGGAAAATTGTGATAATTAGCTTTGGTAGGGCAATTAGTCTCGAAGGACAACACTGAATTCCAAATCGCGGATTGGCAAAGGAATTATTAACTAATAACTTCCACAGGAACAGGCACCTTAATACACAGATATTAAAAGAAAATGAAGCTGTGGAGAGACATGATCGTCTATGTTATGAAAAATAAGATATTTGGAAATACAAATTATGTAGGTTTTTTTTTTAATTTTTGCTAACTTACTTTAGTGCCTCTCCACCACGGGTCGCTTTGGTCGTTTTTGGCAATAACAAATTGGGAGACAATTTGAGAGTTAACCACCGACTTTTATCATTAATTACCGAAAAGAGTTGCTTTAACGAACTTCGGGTCTCAGGTTGTAGGTTTTGCGCATAATTTTAATGCGTTATTAATGCTTAATAAGGAAAATACTGCAAATAATTTTGCGACAAAAATTTATGACAAATGATTTTTACTTTAGAAATGCACTGAAACAAGGAAAAATAGTTTGTATAATGTAAAGGAATCATTAAGGACTATTCTACAAATAAAAACTATTATATACCGTTTGACTACAGAAATATATTACAAATGATTTTTGCATTTTAAAGGCCTTTTTGAATTGTCACCTTTTAAATCCTCCAGTGCAAAGGTCTCCAACCTAGAGCCCGTGGTCCTGTCACAAGATTTCTTTTTTAATTGTTACGTTTTCGTTTTTGTTCCGAATCTTATCATTCTGATCACAAAGATTCAAATAAAACATTCATTCAGTTAAAGACAGCCACTCGAGTAAAATGTGGAAAGAAATGAATTCTTGCCTTTGCCAAGGACATTATCACGAAGCGAACTCCAACAACTACAACTGGAATCTGAACTCAACCCATTGAATCATTTTCCTCGCTGTGACCATTCGGCCAACTCCGTAATCGGGGGGGGGCGCCCCTCTCCCATACACGTATATATTTGATCGGCATAAACATTTTCAAGCTCTAGTTTTATTCAAGTGAATTCATTGCATCATTAAAATACGGCTTCCTGTGACATTGCTAAAACGCCCAGCTAAACTGTTTTTATTATTATTATTATTATTATTACATGTCCGATTAGGGCGTAGGTGATCTTGGCTCTCCATAAGTTCCGTTTCTTTATTACGTGTTACGTGTTATGGAAAAATAGTGGAGTGGTTTCCCGTTGCCACAGTTTTGAATTCAGAATGGTCCTTTTTCTGTACTGTCTAGAGAGACCTAGTCATCCTGCAATTTAATCCATAGTTGGAGTGGGGAAATGAGATAGATTCATGCCTTTCCCAAGGGCATTTGTGCGAAAGTGAATGCAACAAGCTACTCGGTTCATCAATACTATTTACTTCGCCGATAACCATTACACTACCTATCGAAATTATATTTCATAAAAATTATTGTAACTTTTCAGTTTTAACATCAATACGGAAGAAATTCATAGAAAATTGGTTTTATCGACAAAGCTACATAGTCTTATTGTTCCTGTCATTTTGAAATAAAACTATTCTGTTAGAATATAACTCTTCTTTCTCTCTTTTTCTAACACTTGACGATCATTTGCATTGAGTTATTCGGTCGGCTTCTGTGGCCGGTACAAAACTGTTGGGGGTTCCCTCCCACAACCAACATGTGCTCGCTGAACTGCACTCTTAGCGTATGTCAGCACCTCCATGTTTGTTTGCCTAAAACGTTTAGTCGAAGTAAAACAAAACGATAATGTGTCGTCATGGCGGGCACCTGGGCCAGAGAGCGACCAACCGCTGTTCGTCTCCACCATTCACGTGAAGGACGCGTAACTCGAGCGCGCCTAGCGGCCGTCTCGGAAACAACTACATTTTATGTCTGAAAATAAACAGGCGGGCGATTCTATTTGAACAGGTGATGGTAGTTTCAGAGGCTTTTCAATGGAATAATAGAGAATTCTTTTTTGGGGTGGGGATGAAAGAAGAGAAAAAGTCTTTTTGAAAGAAAAGGGACGTCTAACGGGGAAAGAAAGAGCAATGTGGGGAAAGAAAGAAAGAAAGAAAAAAGAAAGAAAGAAAGAAAGAAAGAAAGAAAGAAAGGAAAGTCTAACGAAAGGAAAGAAAGAAAAAGAAAGAAAGAAATGAAAGTAACGAAAGAAAGAAAGAAAGAAAAAGAAAGAAAGAAAAGAAAGAAAGAAAGAAAGAAAGAAAGAAAGAAAGAAAGAAAGAAAGAAAGAACGAAATAAAGAAAAAAGAAAGAAACGAAAGAAAAAAGAACGTGTTAAAGAAAGAAAGAAAGAAAGAAAGAAAGAAAGAAAGAAAGAAAGAAAGAAAGAAAGAAAGAAAGAAAGAAAGAAAGAGGAACTTCTAACGAAATAAAGAAAAACGTGTAACGAATTAAAGAACGTGTTACGAAAGAAAGAAAGAAAGAAAGAACGTGCACATTAACAAAGCGTAGCTTATTCTGGCATAAGGCCACGGTAATAGCATTATTCTATTTGAAAAGGTGATAAGAGTTTCGTAAGCTTTTCATTGGCATAATAGAAAAGTATTTCGCACTTAGTTTCACAGTCAAATGATTTTCAAGACGAGTTTATTCCATATCGCTCTAATGTGTATGTATGTCTGTGGGCGCATGGGGTTAGATGGTTCTCTTTCTGACCATGAGACCAGAGTTCGAATATCACCATGGTCGATCTATCAGGAAGGTGATTTAATGTTATCGGTCCAGGGGAGGCGATCCCAGCATGCAGCACCTTTGGA